CCAGCAAGGCATTCCCACATTTTACACTGCCAGGAGCTCCTTGGGCAAGGCCAGCTCCTCCAGGGCTCAGTGCTGCTCTCTGCCTGCCCAGGACATGACAAACTGAGAGAGAAGGAGCAAGGAGACATTAGAAAGGAAACAATAACAGCCAGACTCATGACTCTTTCTTTTTCAGGGATTTCCTGTCCAGGCCCCACAGCAATGCTCAGCACTCTGAGGGTGGCACATACAAACGTGTGTGTGAGGGGCCAGAGCCCTTCAAAGCTGTGGAAAATCTTGACAGCACCTGCAGCACCTATGTGCAGAGATTTCTTTCATGTGGGTGCAATGCCTCATCCCTCAATCTAATCTTAGGGACAAGGTGTAGGAAGAATTCCAACTAATTTAATTAATTCCAGATCAGGGGCTGAAAAAACCCACTCAAATAAAATTCAAAACCTCTTGAATTTGAAAAAAGAAACCCCGACTTTTTTTTTTCCCCCTTTCCCAGATTAAGGCTAGAAGGTTGGGTTAAGACTGGAGCCATTATTTGGATTTGAGAAATCACCCTTCAAAAATACCTGTTCAGTCAAGTGCTGAGAAGTGGAAAAGCAGAGCTGGCTAAACACAGGTTAGAGTCAAAGTGGTGTCCAAGGGAGTTGCTCACCTCTGGAGCAGGCACAGTGAAGCAAACTGCTTGTGCAGAGGAGTAATGAACCCCGGGCTGGTTGCCATGAATAGGGATTTTAGGATTTCTTGTGCAGAGAGCAGCACTGCCCTCATTCCAGGGGTGCTGCCCAGTGTGGGTCTTTCCAAGGTGGAGCAGACCCTGCACACCCTGGCAGGAATCCTGACCCCACTGAGGCCAGCCACACCTGCACGGATTTCATCAGGAGGATTTTATGGCTCTGCTTAAAGGTGAAAAATCCCAAAGGGCTCCACTCTGTTCTCCCACTCCTTCCCCCCGTCTGCCCTATTGTTGTCACAGCTCCTGGTTTTGGACAGGAGCTCTCACAGGTGCACACACACACCCTTTCTCCAGGCCACTGTGCATTTTCCAGCTTAGCAGGTTATCCCCAGACGTGTGAGGATTTAAAAGCACAGCCCAATCCCAGCAGTGAGAACGCTGTGGCTGCGAGTCCTGCAGCAGCTGCAGAGGGACAGGGACACCCTGACCTGCAAAAATCTGCTGTCCTTGTTAAAAATCACCTTACACCCTGACACTGCTTCTCCTTGCTAACAAGAAGGGCTGTTTGAAATGCTAATTTCGGTGCTTTCTGAACTAGCGGGTGAGCCGTGGTCAGCTCCCATCGCTCACATTTACATTCCATCCTCCAGCCTGGGCAGCCAGCTCAGAGGAAAAGCCAGCCCAGCTCTGGAGATGATTTTCACCATCACTCCCCGGTGCTGTTGGGATTCTCAATGCGTGGATCAGGTTCCCAATAGCACGAGCAGCTTTGGAAAGGTTAGTTTGTTTTAAATAGCTCAGCCATCTGTCCTGCGGTGCCTGACGGGAGCTGCAGGGATCCGAGCAGCCAAAACAGAATTTTTCAAACTGTCAGTTTCTCCTTACAAACATTTCAGTTTGAAACAGACTTGTGTCCTTTACAACAAAGTTAATTCCCTGTGTTTTTCTTGTGCATTACACAAACACTGCCAGTGGGCTTTAGCAGTTTCCTCGTGTTGTTGGAATTTTATCAATGCAAATATTGGGCCTGAACCTCACCAGCACCAGGCACTGTGCAAACCTCATTTGTGTACTCCGAGACTTTGAACTAAAAAATATTTATTTATGACAGGCAGCCACAACACAGAACCAAGAACCAAAACAGAGCAGTAAGGAAAACACTTCATAAATGGAAATCAGGCACGTGGATTTACATTTTTCTCAGCCACTTCCTAAATGTCAGCTGAAGCCCTGGGTTCACCTATTCTAGAAAGTTAAATCGATTTATTCACTTAATTCACAGGATCCACTTTCTTAATTAAACATTCATTTTGAGGGAAATGAGTTGAGAGCACACAGGCCAGCTATGATACCAGCAATTGCTGATACACTGCTGGAAAAATAAAAATGTATGAGAAGCAAGCAGTTATTTCCTTAGGCAAATGCTGCTCCACATCAGACAAACAAGCATGGCCTTGCAGGCAATAAAACCCCAGTGAAAATGCTGATTGTTCCTCTAGTACTGCCCTGGAAAAGCCCACACAATCCCAGGAGTATCCAGAGAGATGAGACAGACAACAAATGTATATTAATCAGAACAACATACCAAAGTTTATTGATTACTTCAAACAAAAGTTTCTGTAATGAAAAAAGAGCAAGTTGCATTCATAAAAGGTAACATTCACATTCAATTTCCTTGATATAAAGCAACATAAATGTATAAAATTGCATTTAAGTGAAAAAAATGTAAGGTTGCAGTCCTTTTTCTTTGCAAGAAGCTGAAAATGTATCTGCTCATTGCCTGTATATAATTTACATTTTCTATATACTACATGGTTTTTTAAAAAAATTCATAGCTGGGAAATTGGATAAATGGTGCAGTATTAGGAAAGTTTTTCAACTGAGTGTATACAAATTCAATTTGAAGCTTTTATGCAATTCCAAGTCATTTATAATATTCTCCTAACGATTAGGATTAGTTTTTGAAAAGTCTCTATGACTACACCAAGCTCCACTGTTACCACATAAGAGTTTTAGAGGGAATCTTAATTACTTTCCTTATCTTTCAGTGTCACTAGTCAGTGATAAAACTTCAAATGACGATGAGAAAACCCCAGCCTTTTTTCCTTCAAGTTTCTCCACCGAAAAGCCTGTACTGACCTTTTACTGCACCTATGGGTGAGGCAGGGCACCAGGAGTGTGGTGACACCAGGGGACACGAGCAGCCCCCATGGCACTGCTGTCCCCACCACTGCCACCCCAGCCCTGCCCCTGCCACCACTTCTGTCCCTCTCTGAGCCCGGGAGGGGTCTCCTGCTTCCCCTCATTCCACAGGTCACCCCCAGCAGCAGGAATTTTGTCGTTGCCATCGCTGAGTGATGAGGATCAGCTCCTCTGCAGCTCCAGGGCAGCCTGGCTGTCCTGGCACTCAGCACTACACTACCTGAAGACCCAAGCCCAAGAAAAACTGCATTTTTCCCAAAAAGAGCTGCTATTCAAGACATTCCACGTGAATTGCACCCCACCTCAGCACACACACCTTGGGTTTGAACACGCAGCTGCTGCAGTGGCTTGTTCCAGCTGGAGACAGGACACTTGCAAACACCAAGAGAAAGATTTGGTTTCTTGAGACAGGCAGCAGGAATTATCCTGTTCCCATGACTATTTGAAGAGTTCAAGTTTCACTGCTCCTGCTGGTATCACCAGTGGAATTCCAGGGGAACAGGCTGACCCTTGGAGCAGAGCAGGACACAGAACAGAGAAGCAAGGTGTCAGGCTTGGGACCATTGGGGCTTGGAATGGTTTTGAATCACAGGAATCAGGCATTTTAGTGCCCATTTTTGAAAGGTTATGTAAACACAAGTCAGCAACCGTGTATTTAAGGAGAATGGTTAGATTTGGCATATAGAGCTTATCTTCATTTATTCGTTGTGTACTTGATCTGTAGGCACCACGTTTCAGCAAGAAAACTTGAGAACGGGACAAGGTCTGCAAGTCGAATTCCAGGTCTGTGAAATGAGCTAGGAAAACAGGAAAAAAAAAAGGAAAAAAGAAAGAAGAAAAGGAGAGCTTTGCCCACGGGACACATGCTGGCAGTGCAGCTCCTGCCCTGCATGCAGCAAGAGCTGAGCTGTGCTCACTGACACAGACTGCACTTGTGGTGAGGCCAGTGCAGAGTGTATAATACAGTGTACAATCCATCCATCCATCCATCCATCCGTGCTGGGCAGGGCAGGGCAGCACAGGGATGTGCACTCCCCTCTCCCACTCAGGGAGGGCCCATCCAAAATCCTCCTGCTGCACAGGGAATGTGCCAGCAGCTGATCCACACCACGAACCACAGGGCTGGCAGCCAGAGAGCAAGACTTGATCCTTCCAAAAAGTAACGGCCTGCAGTCCACAAAATTCAGTGAGGGGAATGTTCTGTCTAGTCCCAAATTGTTCTGTGGTATGTACATGACACAGAGCCTGAGTGAGCAGGAGCCAAACCCAGCACAGAGCTTGCAGCTTCTGAACGAGCCTTGAAGCTTCTCACAGGAGTTCCTTGGGGGACATCAGCACGAGGGAGGGACTGTCACACCACCCAGCAGTGGCACAGAGGCTGGCTGTCACTGCTTATGACTCAACACAACAAAAAAAGCTGCTCTTACCACATATAAAGTATCAGAGGAAAAAAAAAAATAAAATATTGAGAGCCAGGCATCTCACCTTTGCTGTGCAGAACCTAAAGAGAAAAGTTCCTACGACCATGGTACAGGTAGGTTTAAAAAGAACATGCCAATTTAAAAAACAAATAAAATGTAAAATGAAATCAGGTTCATTAAACTGTCTTCTTTTTTTCTTAGTGCAAATAACTCAAGATGCAGTTTTGTGCACCTGCAGGTTCCCAGGCACAGCCCACGTCCCTGGGATGAGCCAAGGACTGTCCCTCAGGCACAGTGCAGTAATGCCAGCACAGCCCCAGGAGCTGAGTCTGCCACAGCACCACCTCTGCGACTCCTTTCTCCCCCACAACAGCTCCTTCCATCACAAACAGCCACAAAAGCACCTTTTCTTCACCCTCCAGCAGGAATCAACCCATCACAGGCTGGCTGTGGGAGGATGCTGTGGCACTTGGCAGCACTGCAGGTCTTCCCGTGGACACGCTGCTGTGGAAGGAGCACAGGCTGCTTCCCCTTGGAGGAGGGAGCAGCCAAGAGCCCTCCCGAATTTTCAGCTGATCCTGCCGTGGGCATCCGAGCAGCCTCTTCCCAGCACCTTCGGGGGCTGCAGGGGAACGTGACTGGGTTGGGGTCTGTGCTACTTCTTTGGTGAGGCAGAGCCAAGCTGCGGGCAGCGGGCACAGGAAAGGCCCTGTGAAAGGGGCTGGCACTGCACTCCTGCACTTCCATCCGTGCTGTCCTGGCTGAACTCCTAAAGATGCTCTCTCAGCCTCCAGTGATGCAGGACTTGGCAGAATTGGTTTTTCTGGGAGGGCAGGGAAGCCACAAGACCAAAGACTAAGGAGGGGCCAGAGCCCTGGCTGCTCTGTCAGCACTGCTCACAGTCCTTGGTACCAGCACAGGGCGCTGCCAGGGTAAAAACATGGGTTTCCTACAGCATGACAATCTGCAGGGTTTGTGTGGAGCACTTTAAGGTATCCTGAGAGGATATCTTTCTGCCAAATTAGTAACAGCATCTTCAGCCTTCACATAACCATTCTCTATACGTTTGTATGACACTAACACAGGCAGATCAAAGGGGCCAGCCTGCAAAAATCAGAAGGAAAACAAACATGTATTGCAACTGTTACATCCCCAAACTCTCAAACCTTTTCCTGAGTTATTGAAAAAAATTATATAGGAGAAGAAGAAGAATGATTAGCCCACGATAAAAGTGCCAAATATCATTCACAACCAAGTCATCAGATGATAAATCAACTTTCACAATTTGCAAAACGCTGTGTGAATTCTGAAAGTGGCACCTGCCCCACTGTGGCACTTGCTCTGTGCTGGTCCCACACCAGTGTGCACCAGTATGTGCTGGGGGAGAGCACCACCTAATGTCCGTGGGGAAGGACTGGCTGCACTGCAGGCCTGGCTGCTGGCCCTGCCATGCCCACAAACCTCATTTCTTTAGCAGCACAAAACTGAGAGAGGTTTGTAGAAAATCTGCAGATTTATATTTGCAGCAGGCACCAGACACAGCATCTCCCCTAAAAGCAGAATTGTGAATTCAATTAGGCACTTTTACTTTTTTTATTCTGCTATTGGCTAACTACAAAGTTTAAAATCGAGTCAATTCACATGAGGATGCTCTGGGTGTGTGCACGGACACCCAGACATGCCTCTGTCCCATGTGCTGACACACAGATAAGTACATGGGTTTAGTGTCCATCTATGCAGATGAATTAAAACATACTTATTTCTATCTGACAGAACAGCATGCACCCTAGAGAAAGGGATTTTGGTACAATTCAGATGCAATACTGGAATCATTTTAACAACTGAGATTTCCATCCTTTACTGCAAATGTATCAGCTTTTATAACCAGTGTTAGCACAATTCAGAGTGCACTCTCAAATTAAATTTTCTGCCAATATTAGACTGAAGTCACAGTTAGATTGAAAGATTCGTTTAGATATTGTTGAATATTTGAACAGATCTGTAGAGATACAGATTCTGAAGAAGCTGGAGAGTACAACATCCCCAGATTAAAATGCATCCCAAGCATTGCATCTCCATTCCACAAGGACAAGTGCCCCACACCGATAGCCAAGAGGATTACAAGAACCATGGTTTAATTGATTTGGAGGGTTACATTTGGTTAATCAATGCCTTTAAACCATCCCAACTCCTCCAGACAGGGTACCTGTTACAACACATTAGACTCATCTGAGAATGTTCTTAACAGAAGTGGTCTGACAGAAGGTCTGGCCGACAATGAATCAGGGACCTTCCTGCTGCTCTGAAACAGCGAG